GTAGCCCACGTCCTTTGCCTTTTTTTCTTTTTTTCTCTGTACTTGTTTTCCCCTGGTAACTATAGAACACTAAGAAATAATTTTCTTAGGTAGATGCTTGAACTTAAACTATGATTAAGAGGAGAAAGACCATCTCTCCCATGCAAGTTGTTTGTGTGACCATGTATTGAACATTGGCTCTGGACCAGACTAGGTACTGAAGATTTGAAAGTGGATACATTACGTCTAGCCAACCAGAAACTTTGCTGTAGTTGTTCTTATATCTTAGTGTCCTTAGAATCTTATAAGGGGACTAGTCAAAAATATGGATTCTGGCGCTCCCATCACCTGGACATTTTTTTTTTTTTTTGAGGGGTTTTTCGCTATAGGGTTCATGCGCTCGCCAGACAGACAGAGAGAGACATAGAGACAGAAAGCGAGAAATCACCCCCCAGGGGGGATGATCACGCCACAATCCCTTCTCCTCCATTCTCCTCTCGGGATCTTGGGCACGCACGCACACGCGCCCGGCGTGAGTTCTAAGCCACCGGGTCTGGGACGCGAACCACGGTCGACTACGTGGGAGTCCAGCGACATAGCCATTACGCTAAGTGCTGGTTCCCCACCTGGACATTTTTTAAAGTTCATTTCTGTCTTTCATGAGAGAGGGAGAGAGAGACTGACAGGCACTCTCCACAGGGTCTTCATACCGAGGTCACCCCCATATGGGGACATGCATGGCATCCTAGGACGAGAACCCAGGACCTTCCCTATGGGCCCAGCATTGCAGAGTATTAAATGTCTGGCCCTGCTCCACTTTTATTTGAAAAGTTTGGAGTGAAGCCCAAGTGTCTGTATTTAGCAAGTCCTCCAAGTGGTTGTAATGCAGGTGGTGCCTTGATAACACTCCGGGAATGCGCATTAAACACTATAGAACATCTTCTGTTTGTGCCTGTAGTTCTGTGCTATTATCTGAAGTTTGAAAAAAAAATACTATTTACAGGAAAATGTTATTGAATAGTTTCCTTCTCCATAAATGTTCTTTTCTCTCCATCATTTTAAACTAAGAAATCCTCTCATATTCAGACAGCACTAGTTAAATATACAAAGGTTTAAAGTATGAGTGCTTTGCTAAAAACTTAGAAATTTATGATATGTTTTTATTTTTTCACCACCACTAAACCATAAAATGAAACACCTTATAACACTATTACAAAAATGTTATCACTTTATAAAAGTTCAGATTTGAAAGTTTACTAGTCTGAGTGATTTTTTTTTTTTTCATACTTTGCTTGCACTTAGCATCTCTGGATTCCAGGGGAAAGAAACATTCCCTTTGTGTAGTCCACCTAAAGTCTCAGATGATGGTTTATTTGAGAGGCAGCTTTTAGCCCTAGGCCTACCACTTTGAAAAACACTATGAAAGTAAGTTTTAACAAAGCAAAACATGAAATAGCCTCACCACGTATGCTCTTAGCGCCCTACTTAGATGGGTGTAATTTGGTACTCTCTCACTAATACATAAGCTTGATCAGGCAGAAGCTCTCCCATCCCAGTCTTGAATTCTCTTTTCTAACTCATTGTGAAGTCTGTCCTATAACCAGGTTGATAATGGTCCCCAAACTGCTTCCTTCAGACACTATACCTTTTTTTTTTACTTCAATTGCAAGCTGCTTAGTCTTTTAGAGCCGATTAAAGGAAATATATTCTCTTGATCTGAATTTTCTACAACCTTCTCCATGAAGCTGAGGTGTTGGAGGGAGGCAAGTGAGGGTGATAGATACAGAAAAAAAAAAAATATATATATATATATATGTTGATGTATGGCAAGCCAAGTAACTATGTCAATTATCTGAGAGCATTTAAAAAACCATCTTTGTGGGTTCCATGTTTTCTAATTAGCAGGCGACAATTATCCACATTTCGCTTAAATAAAATGAAACAGTCTCACCACGTATCTCTTATAGCAACTGCAATGCCTTTAGCTCATTGGGATCTCAACACAAAATCTTACAAGAGTAATCATTTTAGGTGTTTATCCATATGCTCAACCCAAAAGAGATCTAAGAAGATACTGTCTAACAAAATGAGGAGTGTGGATCATTTGAGAACAATATACACAATGTCAGGAACAAAAAATAAGAATATATTTAATTGTAACCTACTAGAAAGGATATACATTTAAATACAGATCTTGCTCATGGTGGGTTAGGTTTTATGCAACTACTGTTTTCTAAGGGTCTGTCCTTATCTTGTTGGGAAAAGGCTGTTTTCAAGTATAAGAGTGTTTCATGTCTTTAAAGGTGAAGGTTGGTAGAATTTCACTAGTTCAGTCTCTACTGACAGTAAATACATGAAAATACATCTCAGGGAAGTTTAGATGCTGATTCCAACTTGCCAGCCACAGACATTCTGCGTGTTGAGCTGATCAAGGAAAGGGCCACATTAGAGAAGGAGCAGGGATGAGCAGGGGAATGAATCATGTAGCAGTTGGCAGAATCTTGGAGTTCAATCCTTTTTGTACTGTAACAAAACAGATTTTTTTTTTTTTGAGAGAGATTTTTGCTATAGGGTGCATGCACTTGCCAGAAAGACGAAGAGAGACAGAGAGGTAGAAATCACCCCCCGGGGGGATGGCCACACCGCAATCTCTTCTCCTCCATCCTCCTTTCAGGATCTTGGGCACGCACACACATGCGCCTGAAGTGAGTTTAAGCCACCGAGTCCAAGACTCAAACCATGGTCGACTACGTGGGAGTCCAGCGACATAGCCATTGCTCCAACTGCTGGTCCCAACAGTTTTTTGGTTTTTTGTTTGTTTTTTGTTTGTTTTTTGCTATAGGGCTCATGTGCTCAACGGAGAGAGAGATGGAGAGATAAAATGAGAAATCACCCCCCAGGAGGAAGACCATGCTGCAATCTCTTCCATTCTGCTCTTGGGATTTTGGGCATGCATGCACATACACCTGGTGTGATTTTCCAGTCACCGGAACTTGAACCGTACAGTCAGCCATGTGGGATCCAGTCCCTGCATGCCATAACCTCCATGCCACCTGCAAGCCCTCACTTCTGACTTTTTTAAGTTTACTTATTTATTTCTTCTGAGAGATAGAGAGCCACCCCCAGTGGTCCTCATGCCATGATTCATCCCCTGCCTTAGCCAGCTGGAATCATGGGCACTCACAGGAATGTGCACAGGGAAACCTCAGGACGTGAATCTGGGCCTTCCCATGTGGCCTCCGTATCACCTCGTGTTGCGCCACGGTCGTGCCATTGCAGCCGGCTAGTCACTCCTCATTTTTATTCAGACTTTATTTCCCTGAACTCCTTCTTTTTCTCAATCACAGAAATGTACTTCATTCCATAATATAGGGTATAGAGCTTAAAATTAGGTAATAAATGATCAGCCTTGTTCATGTGTAGCACACACACACATGCAGGATTTCATAAGGTCCCGTTCCCTACCTCCTTCTTTAGTTACTGTATTTCTGTAAGTGCAGACAGTTGAAGCGCAGGTCCCCATTGAAGATGCAGCAAGGGCTGCTGTGCATACCTACGCAGACTGTACAGTCCACGACCTGTGCAGCCACACGTGGCAGTGCTGAGGCTCCTGGTCCTGTACTTCGGAGTGCTGTGGTTGCGGATTATTATAACAGAACTGACAGGAATACATTACTTCAGTGGTGAACCCCAACTAAGCCCTCCATGTACTGGTGAGTATATCATTTGCTTTTAGCATAGAGGGAGAAATTGTCCAGATATGTTAAGCTCAGGGCAATTGCATTGTAAGAATAATAAATAAATAATAAAACAAAGCAGTTTTTACCCACCATGGAGACATATCTTGTGTCATTTATGACATGCTGGTTTTGTGGTATTTATGGAAGTCCCAGTGAGTGATGCCACTCATTTTTAAGAAGGCCTTTCATTCACCCTGGCATTGATATTTATCATTCTTTATCAATTGCTAGAGAACATGTATGCTCACCAGAGAGAGACAGAGACAGAGAAAGAGAAAAAGAGAGAGAAGGAGACAGGAAGGACCTCCCCAATGAGTGTGGTCATATCACAAATTCCTTGTGCACACACATGTGCCTGGTGTGTTTTTCAAGCCACTAGGGAAGAGATTTAAACCCACAGTTTCAAGCCAACGTTGGCCATGTGGGATCTGGCCCTCTTAACTACTGGGCCACAGGGCCAGCCTATAGCCCTGGTACTTCTTTTTTTATTTTTATTTTTTGAGAGGTTTTCACTATAGGGCGCGTGCTCTCGCCAGACAGACAGAGAGAGACATAGAGACAGAAAGCGAGAAATCACCCCCCCCAGGGGGATGGTCACGCCGCAATCCCTTCTCCTCCATTCTCCTCTCGGGATCTTGGGAACGCA